CCCTCTCCCCTTCTCGCCTTCTGAAATACGCCAACAAGAGTCCTCAATAAAAGTATGTAATGTTTATATTTATTTATCATTGTTGTCTGTATGTAAAACTATAGATATTCTTTAACCCTTAAGCTCTCCAAACGTAGATCTACGTTCACTCACGTAGCACTCCGAATATTTTGAAAAAAAAAAAAATTTTTCTTTTTTAATGAAGAGGGCATTTTTCTACATGTTTTAGGATTAAAAAAAAAAAATTTGGGTTAGTACTTATTGAGACATAAGCTGATGAAAGTGGCACTGGATGCTCACCTGATGGCAACATTGACTCCTGCCGCTTGCAGAAGTGTTGCTGATATACCTTTTTTTCTCGTTTTTATTTTAATTTATATATTTTTTATGTTCTGATAATTACAGTTTATAATAGTTCTTGTGATTTCATAACCAATCTTTGTTCTGACACTAATATTAGTTACTGAAATAGCACTCAAATAGTCACTATCACACCAACAGGTGAACATTTTCACCTGCCTGGATTATTTACTATTGTCTAGAAATATATACAAAGTATATATAGGTCCCAGCAATGTTTTAGACACGCTGGAGTATACCATTAAGCATGGTGTTATGATAAGTGTCAGTAAACTGCTGACAGGCAGTGACACTTGATGAATGTGCACTCAGGGAATCCTTGCTTTGTTTGTTTTCACTGTTACACACACATGTCTGTCTGTCTGCTTATCTATCTATCTAGCTATCTATCTGTCTATCTATCTGTCTGTCCATCTGTGTCTGTCTAGCTCTGCTTATCTGTCTTTCTGTCTGCCTGTGTGTGCCTGGAGTATACATTAAACTCCTTGAAGAATGGTGTTATGACAAATATCAGTAAAAACTGTTGACACCCCAGTGACACTTAATAAATGCTCACTGCTCCAGCTAACCACACATTATTTGTTTTCACTGTTACACACAAACATGTCTGTCTGTCTATCTGTCTGTCTATCTGTCTGTCTAGCTCTGCTTATCTGTCTTTCTGTCTGCCTGTGTGTGTCTGTCTTTCCGTCTGCTTGTCTGTCTCAGGGAGCGGCTGTAAAACTGTTGGTTTACGAGCCGCTCCCTGAGTCCTGAGCAAGTAAATATGCATATTGTGTCATAGCTATTTTTGTCTTATATCTACAAGCACAGTATAGCACTTTGCCTGGAATTTTTGGGTTATCCTAGGTAATTTACACTTTGTATAATAACTGTACTTATGTGTACATGAGAGAGAGACAGAGATAGACAGGGATATAGATAGACAGAGATGTAGACAGACAGAGATATAGACACACACAGATATAGACACACAGAGATGTAGACAGACAGATATAGATAGACAGAGATATAGACAGATAGACAGAGATCTAGACAGATAGAGTAGACAGAGAGACAGCCAAAGCCAGCCAGCCAGCCATCCAGCCAGCCTGCCAAATACATGAGAACATAAAGAAAGAACACTGCAGCAGGCCTACTGGCCCTTGCAAGGTAAGTCCATGTCACCCCCGCTGGACTATCAGTAACTCAAACCACTAGTATTTATCAAACCGACCATCCTCACACTGAGTGTATGTCATGCAATATCCTGTTTTTACTGGCACTCATTAAAAAGGATGGTGTAATTGTTAACTGCACGCAGTGAAATTCTCTGTGTGTTGCTCTAGCTCACTCCAATTTGAATGGATGCAAAAATACAAGTTGATAGTGAGCCCCAATTTGAACTAGCTCACGCTGGAAGTTTAGGTTAAAGCCTTGGCCTCGTTGTGCAGTTTGACTAAATCTATCACAATTTGTTGGAAGAAAAATATTGTGTCTAACATGTTCGAACCTACCAGACTATTTCTATCTACTCTAACTGTGTCGAGTTATTTAAGTGATTAATAGGTTTTTTGGAGCGACCAGTTGTTGATTTGTGAACATTGTTTAGTTTGATAGAATTCTTGTGGTTACCTGTTCAGAATTTTAACATGGTATTTGTATATTTCTTTCTACTGAAACTAATTAAACTGTGTCAGAGTATATTTGATAGTGCCATTTAATCAGCATTTATACCAGAAATACAAGTCTGCATTAGTATCATAACAATTGTTTGAGTTTTCACTAATAATTTTATAATCTTTTTGGTGGATACTGTTAGATATTTTTGTGTACTATTGTAAATCAGATACCTATCCAATAGATTCTATATAATTACTGTTCATTCAAGTAAAGTCTTAATATGTATGTTTCAGTGAGAGTTCTGATAGTGCTCATGTTCTAGGAAATCTAATTTAAATATCTCCAAGGAAATTCTAAGTTATGTTCATGTCTTCCATAAATCTTAAGTAATATCATTTCTTCAGTGAGGAATGGTTTAATAAATTTCATCTAATAGAAAGTTCTTAATTATCTTTTATGTTCTTCAATGAGGAAGTTCTTAGTTATGTCTGTTCTTCCAAGTGAGGAATCTTAAGTTATTCATGTTTTCCAAGTGAGGGAAGTTCTAAGTTATTTCATGTTCTTCCAAGTGAGGGAAGTTCTTAAGTTATGTTCATGTTCTTCCAAGTGAGGGAAGTTCTTAAGTTATGTTCATGTTCTTCCAAGTGAGGGAAGTTCTTAAGTTATGTTCATGTTCTTCCAAGTGAGGGAAGTTCTTAAGTTATGTTCATGTTCTTCCAAGTGAGGGAAGTTCTTAAGTTATGTTCATGTTCTTCCAAGTGAGGGAAGTTCTTAAGTTATGTTCATGTTCTTCCAAGTGAGGGAAGTTCTTAAGTTATGTTCATGTTCTTCCAAGTGAGGGAAGTTCTTAAGTTATGTTCATGTTCTTCCAAGTGAGGGAAGTTCTTAAGTTATGTTCATGTTCTTCCAAGTGAGGGAAGTTCTTAAGTTATGTTCATGTTCTTCCAAGTGAGGGAAGTTCTTAAGTTATGTTCATGTTCTTCCAAGTGAGGGAAGTTCTTAAGTTATGTTCATGTTCTTCCAAGTGAGGGAAGTTCTAAGTTATGTTCATGTTCTTCCAAGTGAGGGAAGTTCTTAAGTTATGTTCATGTTCTTCATCTTAACAATAGCACTTGCTTTATAGGTCATGTTAAAGACACTGTACACTACTCTATATTATAATAAACTAGGGATAAATACAGTAAATTTAGTAAAATGGAAATCAATTAATGACTCTAGTTGTAAATGCACAAGCAATAACAAACTGAGTTACTGTCTACCATCCACTCCCTCAAGTTATGAAGTCACTGTCTACCATCCACTCCCTCAAGTTATGAAGTTACTGTCTACCATCCACTCCCTCAAGTTATGAAGTCACTGTCTACCATCCACTCCCTCAAGTTATGAAGTCACTGTCTACCATCCACTCCCTCAAGTTATGAAGTTACTGTCTACCATCCACTCCCTCAAGTTATGAAGTCACTGTCTACCATCCACTCCCTCAAGTTATGAAGTTACTGTCTACCATCCACTCCCTCAAGTTATGAAGTTACTGTCTACCATCCACTCCCTCAAGTTATGAAGTCACTGTCTACCATCCACTCCCTCAAGTTATGAAGTTACTGTCTACCATCCACTCCCTCAAGTTATGAAGTTACTGTCTACCATCCACTCCCTCAAGTTATGAAGTTACTGTCTACCATCCACTCCCTCAAGTTATGAAGTTACTGTCTACCATCCACTCCCTCAAGTTATGAAGTCACTGTCTACCATCCACTCCCTCAAGTTATGAAGTTACTGTCTACCATCCACTCCCTCAAGTTATGAAGTTACTGTCTACCATCCACTCCCTCAAGTTATGAAGTCACTGTCTACCATCCACTCCCTCAAGTTATGAAGTCACTGTCTACCATCCACTCCCTCAAGTTATGAAGTCACTGTCTACCATCCACTCCCTCAAGTTATGAAGTCACTGTCTACCATCCACTCCCTCAAGTTATGAAGTCACTGTCTACCATCCACTCCCTCAAGTTATGAAGTCACTGTCTACCATCCACTCCCTCAAGTTATGAAGTCACTGTCTACCATCCACTCCCTCAAGTTATGAAGTCACTGTCTACCATCCACTCCTCAAGTTATGAAGTCACTGTCTACCATCCACTCCCTCAAGTTATGAAGTCACTGTCTACCATCCACTCCCTCAAGTTATGAAGTCACTGTCTACCATCCACTCCCTCAAGTTATGAAGTCACTGTCTACCATCCACTCCCTCAAGTTATGAAGTCACTGTCTACCATCCACTCCCTCAAGTTATGAAGTTACTGTCTACCATCCACTCCCTCAAGTTATGAAGTCACTGTCTACCATCCACTCCCTCAAGTTATGAAGTCACTGTCTACCATCCACTCCCTCAAGTTATGAAGTCACTGTCTACCATCCACTCCCTCAAGTTATGAAGTCACTGTCTACCATCCACTCCCTCAAGTTATGAAGTCACTGTCTACCATCCACTCCCTCAAGTTATGAAGTCACTCTACCATCCACTCCCTCAAGTTATGAAGTCACTGTCTACCATCCACTCCCTCAAGTTATGAAGTCACTGTCTACCATCCACTCCCTCAAGTTATGAAGTCACTGTCTACCATCCACTCCCTCAAGTTATGAAGTCACTGTCTACCATCCACTCCCTCAAGTTATGAAGTCACTGTCTACCATCCACTCCCTCAAGTTATGAAGTCACTGTCTACCATCCACTCCCTCAAGTTATGAAGTCACTGTCTACCATCCACTCCCTCAAGTTATGAAGTCACTGTCTACCATCCACTCCCTCAAGTTATGAAGTCACTGTCTACCATCCACTCCCTCAAATTATGAAGTCACCTGGTTTGGTTCAGGGGATTGTAACAGTTGTTTCCAAAATATATTAAACGGAGGTCTGTTAAATTGAAGTCTTACTCTACTGCTGCAGATTTTAGTAATATTAACAGTTGTAGTATTTTAGCACCAATACTGTTACAGGTGTTAACTGGTGTTGTGTTCTACCACTAATATTGTTACAGGTATCAATGGTGTTAACTGGTGTGGCGTTCTACCACAAGTATTGGTCGTACGTATACACTACACAGCTTCCTGGCAACATCAAGCAGTGGGTGGACACCAACATGAACTGTGAAGACATTGCTATGAATTTCCTTGTGGCAAACATGACAGGAAAGGCACCCATAAAGGTAACAACATTCTCGTTAAATTGATCTCAGAGTGGATGGGCTTCAAATTCATAGCAGAATAGTCCAAAACTGGGAGGCCAGTGTATAGGACACTGGCCTGAGCTGCACAACTCAATTTCCTTGTGGTCAAACACCCACCTGTTCTGTGAGTTGTTTGTAAGGCTGTTATGATGATTTTACCAGTCAGTATTTTTCTTAATAGTTCTGGGGGTCAGAAACCCTTGCAACCAGGTCTCCTAACTTATAAATATCCTCAATTACCAATATTCTCAATCACAAATATCCTCACTTACAAATATCCTCACTTACATATATCCTCACTTACATATATCTTCACTTACACATATCCTCACTTACATATATCCTCACATCCTCCCTTACAAATATCCTCACAAATATTTTCATATATATCCTCACTTACATATATCCTCACATCCTCCCTTACAAATATCCTCACAAATATTGTCATATATATCCTCACTTACAAATATCCTCTCTTACATATATCCTCACATCCTCCCTTACAAATATCCTCGTCAAATATCGTCATTTACTAGTATCTTCACTTACCAATATCCTCACATATATTCTCACTTACCAATATCCTCACTTACAAATATCTTCACTTACAAATATCTTCACTTATATATATATCCTCTCAAATATCCTCACTTACAGATATCTTCACCTCTAAACATCTGCTCTTAAACATCACTTACAAACATCATCACAAATATCTGCACTTACAAACACCTGCATTACAAACATCGTCAATTACACACATCTGCACTTACAAACATCGTCAATTACACACATCTGCACTTACAAACATCACTTACAAACATCATCACTTACAAACATCATCACTTACAAACATCATCACTTACAAACATCATCACTTACAAACATCACTTACAAACATCTGCACTTACAAATATCATCACTTACAAACATCTGCACTTACAAATATCATCACTTACAAACATCTGCACTTACAAACATCATCACTTACAAACATCTGCACTTACAGATATCTGCACTTACAAATATGTGCACTTACAAATATATGCACTTACAAACATTGTCACTTAAAATCACCTTCAGTTACAATCATCTTCACAAACATCCTCACAAAAAAACATCCTCACAAACAAACATCCTCACAAACAAACATCCTCACAAGCAAACATCCTCGCAACAGACATCTCACAAACATCCTCACAGCAAACATCCTCACAAACATCCTCACAAGCAAACATCCTCACAAGCAAACATCCTCACAAGCAAACATCCTCACAAGCAAACATCCTCACAACAAACATCCTCACAACAAACATCCTCACAACAAACATCCTCACAACATACACAACAAACATCCTCATAAGCAAACATCCTCGCAAACATACAAACAAACATCCTCACAGACATCCTCACAAACAAACATCCTCACAAACATCCTCACAAACATCCTCACAAACACTAAACTCCTCACAAATAAACATCCTCACAAATAAACATCCTCACAAACAAACATCCTCACAAACAAACATCCTCACAAACAACATCCTCACAAACAAACATCCTCACAAAACATCCTCACAAACGTCCTCACAAACATCCTCACAAACATCCTCACAAACATTTACACAAACATCCTCACAAACATCCTCATAAACATCCTCACAAACATCCTCATAATCATCCTCACAAACATCCTCATAAACATCCTCACAAACATCCTCACAAACATCCTCATAAACATTCTCACAAACATCCTCACAAACATCCTCACAAACAAACATCCTCACAAACATCCTCATAAACAAACATCTTCACAAACAAACATCCTCCAACAACAAACATCCTCACAAACATCCTCACAAACAACTCCTCACAAACATCCTCACAAACATCCTCACAAAACATCCTCACAAACAAGCATCCTCACAAACATCCTCACAAATAAACATCCTCACAAACAAACATCCTCACAAACAAACATCCTCACAAACGTCTTCACAAACATCCTCACAAACATCCTCACAAACATTTACACAAACATCCTCACAAACATCCTCATAAACATCCTCACAAACATCCTTACAAACATCCTCACAAACATCCTCACAAACATCCTCACAAACATCCTCACAAACAAACATCCTCACAAATAAACATCCTCACAAACAAACATCCTCACAAATAAACATCCTCACAAACAAACATCCTCATAAACATCCTCACAAACATCCTCACAAACATCCTCATAAACATTCTCACAAACATCCTCACAAACATCCTCACAAACAAACATCCTCATAAACAAACATCCTCACAAACATCCTCACAAACATCCTCACAAACAAACATCCTCACAAACATCCTCACAAACAAACATCCTCACAAACATCCTCACAAACAAACATCCTCACAAATAAACATCCTCACAAACAAACATCCTCAGAAATAAACATCCTCACAAACAAACATCCTCACAAACATCCTCACAAACATCCTCACAAACAAACATCCTCACAAACATCCTCATAAACAAACATCCTCACAAACAAACATCCTCACAAACATCCTAATAAACAAACATCCTCACAAACAAACATCCTCACAAACATCCTCATAAACAAACATCCTCACAAACATCACAAACAAACATCCTCACAAACATCCTCACAAACATCCTCATAAACAAACATCCTCACAAACATCCTCACAAACATCGTCACAAGCATCCTTACAAACATCCTCGCAAACATCCTCACAAACATCCTCACAAACAAACATCCTCACAAACAAACATCCTCACAAACATCCTCACAAACATCCTCACAAACATCCTCACAAACAAACATCCTCACAAACAAACATCCTCACAAGCATCCTCACAAACATCCTCATAAACAAACATCCTCTTAAACATCCTCACAAACAAACATCCTCACAAACATCCTCATAAACAAGCATCCTCATAAACAAACATCCTCACAAACAAACATCCTCTCAAACAAACATCCTTACAAACATCCTCATAAATAAACATCCTCACAAACATCCTTACAAACAAACATCCTCATAAACAAACATCCTCATAAACAAACATCCTCACAAACATCCTTGCAAACAAACATCCTTACAAACATCCTTACAAACAAACATCCTTACAAGCAAACATCCTCATAAACAAACATGCACTTACAAAAATGTGGACTTACAAATGTGGACTTACAAATGTGGACTTACAATTGTGGACTTACAAATGTGGACTTACAAATGTGGACTTACAAATGTGGACTTACAATTGTGGACTTACAAATGTGGACTTACAAATGTGGACTTACAAATGTGGACTTACAATTGTGGACTTACAAATGTGGACTTACAAATGTGGACTTACAAATGTGGACTTACAAATGTGGACTTACAAATGTGGACTTACAAATGTGGACTTACAAATGGGTCACTAAGAAAACAATATTTTACAAAAGTTATATTTACGTATGAAACACCATATATGTTTATTCTGGTGTTTTCTATGAGTTGTTCAGCAAGCAAAAATGTTAAATTAACGGAGTTTTTTAATGCCCCTGCCATCTCCCATCCAGGCTGGCCGACCTGAAAATTAAGGGAGTTTTCTTAACGCCCTGGCCGTCTCCCATCCAGGCTGGCTGACCTGAAAATTAAGGGAGTTTTTTTAACGCCCCAGCCGTCTCCCAGCCAGGCTGGCTGACCTGAAAATTAAGGGAGTTTGTTTAACGCCCCGGCCGTCTCCCGTCCAGGCTGGCTGACCTGAAAATTAAGGGAGTTTTTTTAACGTCCCGACCGTCTCCCATCCAGGCTGGCTGACCTGAAAATTAAGGGAGTTTTTTTAACGCCCTGGCCGTCTCCCATCCAGGCTGGCTGACCTGAAAATTAAGGGAGTTTTTTTAACGTCCCGACCGTCTCCCATCCAAGCTGGCTGACCTAAAAATTAAGGGAGTTTTTTTAACACCCCGGCTGTCTCCCATCCAGGCTGGCTGACCTGAAAATTAAGGTAGTTTTTTAACGCCTCGGCCGTCTCCCGTCCAGGCTGGCTGACCTGAAAATTAAGGGAGTTTTTTAACGCCCTGGCTGTCTCCCATCCAGGCTGGCTGACCTGAAAATTAAGGGAGTTTTTTTAACGCCCCGGCCGTCTGCCATCCAGGCTTGCTGACCTGAAAATTAAAGGAGTTTTTTTAACGCCCCGGCCGTCTCCCGTCCAGGCTGGCTGACCTGAAAATGAAAATAACAAAAGTTTTATTTTTTTTTTAATTTAGTAATATATACAGGAGAAGGCGTCACTAGACCCTCGCTCTCGACATTTTAATCGCCTCTTACGATGCAGCTTGTGGAGGAAGAATTCTTCTCCACTTCCCCATGGAGATAAGAGGAAGATGTATGAGAACAAGAACTGCTAATAGAAGAGAACTCAGATAGGTGTGTATATACATACCTGTTGAAGAATTGAGACATGCAACATATGGGAGTCTTTATTAAGAAACGTTTTGCCACACAGTGGCTTCATCAGTCCAATGCAAAGCAGAAATGGGTAAGGAGAGGAGGAAATAAAAACACATATGCAGTATAATGTGATCCTTTATTGACAACGTTTCGCCCACACAGTGGGCTTTTTCAAGTCACAAACAGATCTACCTGGGGTGGAAGGTATGCGAGTATTTATAGTCAGGTTCAGAATGTTGAGGTCAGGTGGAGAATGCTGCATCTGATGATGTACCGAGTGGTGTTATAGAGTCTAAAATCTTGGGTAGCTTGGAAGGGAGATTGGATAAGTTTGTGAGCAGACCTTCTGCAGTGTTGTTCCATTCCTATGCTGATGATTACAGGAACAAAATGCTCAATCTGTTTAATCACCCAGATACCTACAAACCTCTCACAACTAACCAAGTGGACAACCTTACTAAAACTTTTCTTCAAAGGACTCGCCGCATTCTGAGGGACTCAGAACAAGG